CATCATCTATCTCAAACTAGGAAAGATCCTTTTTAGCATTTGCTTCATCATACACTTTTAGAATAGTTATTTTTAGGTCTATGCTAGAATGGCTAACTTAACTTTAAAAAAGAATTTTTTGAGACGTGAAGCCAGATTTTTATTAATGTGAATTAGTTCAGCACCTGAAAAGCAAGAGAATTTGGTCGATTTGCGCGAATAGGTTTGTGGCTGACCTACTCATCGGTGGACTTCATAGAGGTGGCGGAACATCAAAGCTTCGGACACCCATGCACAATTTCCAACTCTTATAAAGTGCATAAATATCTCAGTCCAATATACCTGTCTAAATTTTGCCGCAGTGCAGCACATTGGCCGAAATCTGTTCCAACCTAATGCACACCAGAAAATGAATAAAAGATTGCGAGAGAACTGAGCGAAAACCTACATTCTCCATCACGCATAAGAAGTTAGTTTAAAGCCATTAAGCTTGGAGATTAAAGAAGAGGAGGTAAACAATGCTTCTCCTTAAGGTTCGTTTCTTAGAAAGATGGATTTCCAATGAACGTTCACACAGAGTTGAGTCGTGATAACTATGTAGAGAAGACTACGAAATTCGTGTTTCAACCCATATTCTTTTTAGGATGCCTTAGTTAAATGGCTGAAATTTGTAGGAAATGCGTTGTAAGGGTAAGCCTGTTTCTTGAACCACTTAGACTTGAAATTGGTACCTTTAAGTTCACACCCGCGGAATCGACGCTACCGTAACGGTACTATCTCCCCCATCGCAAGCACTGATGTTCGACGCTAATGCGTCATAAGGTAGTTTGGTCCAGCCCGGCCTAGTCCATTAATCAAGCTGATATAATGACCAACAATGGCGGTGACTGTGTGAATGTATGCAGCTGTGTGCACCAATGAACAAAGGGAGCTTCCAACAAGAAGGAGGGGTGAAGTCCAAGCCCACGAATATTGACATGTATCTACGGAGGACCACAAGCGCAATTTGTGTGGTAGTGGTGGTGACGCATCCACCAAGCTGGTCCGCAGTATGACTTGTGGAATGCTTGCAAATGAGCATTTGAGAAACACTTGCACCTTTCTCGGTCCGTCAAGAATTAAAAAGGCAAATGACAGATTAATTGGGAAGAGTTCTACAGTTTATGTGATGTATTACGTTAGAAGTTGCTATAGCATGGAGTTAGCAAGGGGATCGGTGGATATGTACTTTGCTGATGTTGAAGTCTTACCTTTAACGGCTCTATAAACACACGTATACACTTGAGCATTCAATCACTCATAGATGTCTTTCCCCACCACTTAAACGCACATCGGTGCCAATCCATTAAAATAGTACTTTGTAACTCAAAGGGGGCATATTCCTCGTTATTAAACATGGAGTGATATGTAGCCAAAATAAATGGACATGATAGTGCCTCCAAACCTTGCAATACACATACTAGTTCCCATTGTCGATGTGAAGGGTTTGGAAGGCCAATGAAATTCAACTTATGCATTGCACTCAAAGCTTAAATCAGTATTATTGAATATGCGATGTCGTGAATGCATCTAATTAAGTAACCTTGGAGGGACTTGGCAATGTCTTCCTGACTCCTTTAATATATCTGGGAGTTTTGTAGATATGTTTGAAAAAAGAAAGTTATTGCACTTCTGGAGACATTGGGAACACCGACTGAAAAGTGACTCTACAAACGGAGTAAGGGAATATTGCAGGAATTGCTTGTGTCTCATGTATGAAAGGAGTTAATGGACTTGTTTATAGTTCAGATGCTAAATTAAAACTGAATGAATATTGAATGGCCCTTAGGAGAAGGTGAGAGAAGTGGTTGACGTATAGAAGGGTGGCGGGTCAAAACCTGTGCAGAGTGGCAATTACTGTCACAGACATGGTGCAAGTGTTTGATGCCGGAAAAGAGCATTATCATTACGCGTAGACTTCGCAAATCAAAAGCCTCATCTGGCACTCCCGCAGCATTCTGCCAATCTACTGTTCAAGGCCAAGGTCTCATAGATGTGCGCAATAAAAAGGGTGCTATCCTAATAAAACAGTAAAATCCCAGTTCTTGCAGACAAATTTGTTAGAAAAAATTCTGAACTGCAAAATATATAGTCTGTTACACCACAAACGCAGTTTGTTAGGTGTCCCTTTTACTTCCTTTTAAGTGTTAGAAGTAATACTACGCGTTCTTTGACAAGTATCTCCAAAATAAAGTGTGTTGTCCTAATATTGCAAATCACCCTCTGACACCAACCACAACGCAAGCTTTTATTACCAAGTGGCACAATTGAGTGAAGGCTTGGCCGAAAAACTAGGAAGTACTATGGTAAGCGTACAGTGCGTCACGACTAGCCTGTGGACATAAGATGACACTAGAGTATTATCTGCGTACAGATAAGCTGAGAGGCTACCGGCAGTACTACAAGTTAATGCTGCTGAGCAAAATTTCAATGACCGGGGATTTTGGTGCCCTTCAAATTATCACGTAGCCCCTATCCACTTTGAGCAACGTCTTCAACATTTTCCAATATCAAACTCACCTGTCGGCCACTAGAACGTAGCCTAGACTACTGCCAACTTAGAGCAAACTTTCCCATTATATGCGCTGCGGTTGAAGCACTTTCCTGTCATCTTCACAAATTCTTGATTGCGTAACTCATCACCAGAAAAACACTACTATTAATGCCCCCCAAAATTCCGTATATTCCAGCTATAAAATGCGATATAAAGAAAAAAGAAGTCTGAATGTCCGACCTTGTCAGTGTTGTGAGAGTTCGTGAAATCAAGTCTTCTGGACACACATCTACTTTAGTGATAGGTTTCAAATAATGATGTGGTATCTGAGGAATTTCAAGGAGATGAGCGGCCTCGGTTAATTGTACAGATTGATAAAATTCATCAAAAAGTCTGCACTAATTATTAGAAAGGTGTAACTATTCTCATTTTTGGCTGTTCACTAGCTTTGCTAAAGACCTGTTTTAATCTTGCAAAGTCTAGCTTAAATAGCCCGTTTCTGAAGACTTGAAAACCTCTGTTTCTCTCACCAAATTTAGTAAGCTGCGTTGGCTTTACCCCCTTCGCCATAGCTCCATATAGGATGCAATATTGAGAAAACTAACGTTTTCTCCCACTGTTGCAAGCCATGTAATTTAAAAACCTTAAGATTTTCAAAATTTGTTGACTAGCGCCTAAACAAATGTCACCGGTGTCATTGTACCTGCAGTGGCAGTACTCTTACTGTAAACGTAGGCAGACAAGTACTGAATAATACCATTCCTCCTCAGCCATGCTAATGCCTTCATCAGAAAAGCCACAATCGTGTAAATTTTTGATATTATGAAGCACGTTCAGCAGCGACGATGACAGTATGTTTTGATAACCACCAAAATGCATAGTTTTTTAAGTTAAAGCGGGTAAAGCATCTCAAAAAGATCCTTAAAGACGAGATATTGTCAAACGAGTGGCTCTAGAAATTCCATAACTCCAAACATTGAGAGTTAAATCTCCCTATATCATGCTAAGCTGAAGGTTGTGCAGACAGAACAAGCAGTCCATGACGCAAGCTGCAACTGTTGTGCACAGTACTCATCTCACGTTATGGCAGATGCAGCAAAAATTCTAGTCGGATGAGACAACACGTGAGTTGAGATTTGCAAGTGAGACTCAAGACTACAGAACTCGTATAATTTGATGCATGTGAAGAATGGCCGCTAAAAATTTGTGGAACTCATTAGAGGCCTCTCATTTCACTGATAATCAAGCACCCAGGTTTCCAAGCACAACTTGAAAGGAATTTTAAACTTTTTTAGAATAAATATTTACACCAAAGCATGTTTGACTGAATTTTATTGTGGTGTATTTTATACATAATTACGAAGTGCCTAACCTTGTAACCCTGCTACAGGTGCTCCGTGACGGCCTAATATTTTTGAAAGACAAATAATAGTAAACCTACGATTTAATAAATTTAACTCGGGGCTTACATTAAGGGCTCAGGAAAATGACCGTAAATGAATTTGTACAACCTGTGGCTTTATGTGTCATATTGATTAAAATCTGCCTGTAGAATTGCAAGGGAGAGTGTGTGAAAACAACCATTTTGTGTTTCCAGATAAAAAGCTGGATTAAAGCATTTACCATGGCGATTTAGACTAAAATCGAATATAAAAAACGGGCAGGTACTTTTGTATTTTTACTATCGCGTTGTTGTGGCGAGTGAATGAAGTGCGTTAAAGAGTGATTCCTCAGCCATCCGCAACAAGTAGATGGGTGTGGATACAAAGGCAATTCGGTCGAAGATCATCGTTTGAATAGTCTCACATATGAATAACAGCACCACGGATTGCGTCTTCCGATGAGGCAATTGGTGTCTGACACCACAGAACATACAGTCATTCGATGATTTGTATGCATCTGTCACGCACGTGGATGTGATGCCCCATCTCAGAAAAGAAGTTGACGAACCGGTCCAATTTTGCACGTAGCCATATACTCCCAAATATGGTTATCCGAGGGGTGATGCTCGCATCTGCCCCGGTGTTTGCGTCCCTCATTCTAGCAGAGGCGAAACAACTGGTCACTTGTAAGGGAGGAAATTGCGCATCGAAGGGCACTCAAAAGAAGCCGTGATACTTACTCGTCAGATATATGGAGTCAGATAGGAGAGACTCTTCATTCCTCACGTCAGTAGGCGGGCATTAACATCAAGTTGGTTGAAGAAAGTGGTGCAGCTTCCACCATTAGGAGTCCACTCAATTGAAGATGTGAAAATTTGCTTCTCCCAATGACGGCTCAATGAGTTTCAAAGTGCCAACTGGAGCTACTACCACCATTTTGCCGATCGTTCGACCCACCTAGTTTGCTAAATTGCAGTTTATGTCGAATCAGGCATTCAGAGAGTAATAACCGCCGCTCAAATAGACCGGTGACAACTTTTTCTTCCTGCACATTATTTTACCAGTGCCTAGTAAGTCACTCGCCAATTATTTTCCAATCCTGCGATTTAATCAGCCACCTGACACATGTAAGCCATGGGAGACATACATATGCGCGTGTATTCCAACTCATAATGGTATATTTGGGTAAGAATACCCTGCACTGTCAAGAAGGAGAAATGTTAGGATAGCACATATCACTGCTAAATTACGGGTGGAATGATTAGGTATTGAGTTTGAGAGAGTAAGAGAGAGGGAGGGAGGATGAAAGACAGTTATCTATCATTGGCCCTGCCTTCAAGTACTTCACAGTCCGGATGGGATGCTCTCCTTAAGGTTCAAAAGCTGAAAGAACAGAAGCATAACAGACCATCTGTCGAGTCGTCCTGGCAAAGAAGGTACACCAAGATTTGATAACCTAGTATATTCAAATAGCGTGCATTCAGAGAATACGCGGTCTCAACAAAGGGAGGCATTGTAGGCAGAAGGGAGACGGTGGGTCCCACGAACAGAGATCGATCATCAATGAGGGCAAGGGGATCCAAACGATAGAAAAATTTGGCCATCGCCACACCATGCATAACTGCACGTGTTGTAGTCAGCGCCATCGTACTTATATCCGCGACGAGAAATGGAAACTTGTCAACACAATATCCTATTGGACGTGGTAACTAGGCCAGAAATGAGAGGAGACGCCATATGCAGGGTCGTTAGCGGAGAAAGAAGGGAAACCATATATATATATATAAATCATATCATATAACAAAAATGCTTCCAAATATAGCATCATAGGGATATATTTCATTTCTCAAATAAAAGAAACATCCACACACAAAAGCAGAGGTCGATGCTCTACTTCGATAATACGAAATGTCATTACATACATGCCAATATAGGTGTGAAATTTATTTTGCTGACACAAAAAATAAGTCTGCACATAACAAAAGTGGTGCAGACGCTAACTTACGAGTGCAAAATAAGTTTATATACAAAGATATAAGCATACATTCCATTTAACCAACAAAAAATACCAGTCGCGCACATAACAATATAGGTATGCATTGCATTTTTCTTATACAAAATACCTCCGCATCAATCAACATAAGCACAAACTCCAGTGCACTTATAAAATTGGACCCACACATAAGAACGCCGGTAAATATACACTCCAATGCAAAAAAATGCACCAACATATTCCAACACAGGTCTACACAATATTTATATATTGCAAAAATACGTCCACACACGTAAAATAAGGGTTTATATTCCACTTCACTAGCGCAAAAGTATGCCCACACATTCCGAAAAAAGTATATACTCCATTCCAATTACACAAAAGCAGGTTCACAAATGTTGTTTCAATTTGCATCTCACATCACTGGTGAAAAATGCATTTACATTTACTAACATGGACATATACCCCATTTAAATCGTGCAAAAATAGGTCTACAAAATCCATAATGGGTATATACCACATCTCACTGGAACAAAAATACAGCTCTGCAAAACAATATGAGCACATGCTTTACTTCTCAAGCATAAATATATGTATTCGCACATACATAATTGAGTATGCACCGTATTCCACTGATATAAACATGCATGCACATAAGCAAACAGAAGAGCATTATTGCAATAATAGCTACCTTATGTGATTCTGTCCAATACCAGTACCATTCAACCCACGCAATTTTCTAATCTTTGTTTTGTTTCTGTCATATTTGCAGTCGGATTTTTACCTAAAACTCCTAAACGATTAGCAAAAATCACGATGAAACTCAGAAAGCGAATGATTGACATGCACTTGGGTGATATATAAGCACAAACCTACCCACTTAAACAAACCGGGAATATAACTTTGGCACGTCGTCTAAAAGATGCACATCTGGCAGTAATATGCCTTGGTCTAAGGCGACTTACACCCAAAATACTTGCATCAGCATCTGTTATTGCCATTCTCAAAATAATCGCCAGCATCCTGCCGAATATTCCAAATATGTCTACCATTCCAAATTCACAAAGATTTTTGCTCATGTTATTAAATAGGTTTGAGAAATTTAGTCGTCGAATAGGCAGACATCATTAACAGAAACTTTAGAAGATGTTGCCGATAGTATGCAACATTCTTTCAGTCCTTGTCCGTGCCTCCCAATGTTTTGTGCGTTTACATCTGAGGTCGAGCTTTACTGAGCTTCGGCCGTGCTGTCCTTTTGCAGACATGTTGCACCGAGCAACCGGACAAGTGTATACACCAGGGGAAATTTAGCAACTTTACAGCTTTTTGCTTTTTGCTTTCAGTGCAAAGGTATTGATTGAC